CTAAACCCCAAGCCCTAAACTGTGGTAGTAGTTTTACTGAAGCAGCTGGCAGGCCCGGGCCAGTGGCCCCGCTGGGCCGCTCAGGAGCTGACTCTGCCTCAGGGCACGGAGTCTGGGATATATTGGGGGCCAATATAGGGGTTCTATCTGGGGGTTATATAGGGGTTCTCTAGGGGGTTATATAGGGGTTATATAGGGGTTCTATAGGGGTTACATAGGGGTTATATTGGGCTTTATTATATAGGGGTTATATTGGGTTATATAGGGGTTATATTAGGGTTATATAGGGGTTATATAGGGTTTCTATATGGAGCATGGGAAAGAAAATGGAAACTGCTACAGTATAATAGGGTATATCTTGGGGTCATATAGGGCATAATATAGGGATAATGGGTTGGTGTTAGGGCATTTGAATTAAGTTGCCACATTATGCGTGTTTCCGTAGGTAAAAACCAGGCCTCCAGTAAAGACCCCAGTATATCTTAATCAGAATGAGAGGGAACGGACCATAATATGGATACATGGTAAACATATTGTTTCGTGATTGTCGTGACTTTGCGATCAGCAGCCCAGGAGTGCAAGCTCATCATCCGAAGTTACCGGGCCAGAAGACATGAAGGTTTTGGGATTTAAAGACTTAGATTTAGGGTTTTATGGTTGAGGATATTTGGGGTTTGGGGCTATAGGGTTAAGGCTATTGTTCCACGGTTTGGCGTTTGGGGTCCTCGGTGGGGGCCCAAGTTTCAGGGTTGGATGGAGGAAATTTTGCACCCTCCAAGATTTCCAGTATACGTTAATCCTGAAGGTACGCGGTCGGTAAGGTGGTGCAAGATTTCCTTCATCCACAGTCGGTTCAAGATTTGATCAAAACGACGCCTAGTCTGCAAGAACAACCCTCATGACGCTCTGGGCTTTCTAGATGTCCGCATGTAGCTCAGGTAGTAGTATTGCGAATGTGCGCAACTGGGTAATATAGGGGAGGAGTGCTAGGTACTGGCAACAGCACAGAGCACAATGATCTTCTTTCTTTCTGTTGTTGATGACTATAGCTCTCAACCGTGTGATTTCCTCCTTTTCTGCAAGCATGGCTTTCCGGTGGTATTGTCACCAATTCTCTTTTGCTGTTACGAGGCTCTTGGGCCACTGTTATCGTTTCATGAGCATCCTTGTCCTGGTTGTACTTCGCCATCCGTCATTCTTACTGTAGTGAAAGCATTGCTATTGCTACGTGTACAACAGCAATTATTGTATAGAACACTATCGATTTCTGAGTACCAGTATTTCTATTGCCGTTGATATTATGGTGGCCTTTCACGTAAGTACTGTTATGATGTCAGCCACCGCCATCCCAACCCTAAATCCCACAGTAGCCCGAGGACGAGGCGGGCAGGTGGAGTGGGAAGGCATCAAGGGCAATCGTAGCTGGCCGCCCGTGGCTCCGGCATCGAAGGTGTCAATGATGCTGGTCTGACAGTCAGGGGCTATGTAGGGCTTGAAGGCAAATGGGGTCAGGCATGGGCACACAAGCAGGCTACAGGGGATCATCAGGTTTCTTGGAGAAAATTTGATTTTCAAACCTGGTTGAATGGAAGCAGCGCTGATTTTGCGTAATGGCTTTGAATCTCTGTAGCGCATTGTGGGGCTTCTTAAGTACTACATGAAGGTGGTTTCTGTCATGACCTCCGAAACCTGAAACCCTCCCCCAAAGCAAGGTTTGCTGAGCACCTAGCCTAGATTGATCACTGGCGAGTGTTGTTCAGGAAGTTCGGCGTGCCCGAAATTAGCTACGATCCTGTGAAAGCAGCGCCATCAGCGCCAGCGCCAGCGCCGACTCCAAATCTCCCAAAGCCTCCGCTGTCAGTGCCAAAGGTGACTTGCTTATGCTCAGGATTGACGATTAGCACAATCAACAAGACTGCGCCTATCGTGGCGAGATTGTTCCTGCAATAATTGTTGCAAGAAGCCTGGCTTCACTTGTCATGTGAGTTTCAGCATGGTTTGTCTACCCTGCCAGGCTTTGCCGTCGCGCCCACAGAGCGGAGGATATCATTCAGCCAACTCATCTGGGCCCGGATCACCCACGGAGTCCTCACGTAGCTCGAAGACGCCCAAGGGCCACAAGGACCTGCGGTCGAAATTCATCCTCGACATGCACGAGGGGTTTCTCAACCTGAAGCTCTTGTATTGTTTTTGCTATGATGTTTTGTTTTAGTTGGTGTTGCCGGTTATACTAGTAGTCACATTAGCAATGCCAGCAGCAGTAGAATTTCACTAGATTTAGGGCTGTTAGTGTGATTATTGACGCTTGCTCCTTTCATGGCTGAGGTACGAGCAGAACATCGATGAGCGCTTCGAAATGGATGTTAAGGCCAACTAGAAGGAAATGTGGTAGTCCTGGCAGTAAGCAAAGTGGCATAGTAGCAACCAGATGAAAATCCCGAATACCACATTTCTCCGTGTCTTTCCCCGTCCAGAATCCCCTCTAGAGGACCCGGCATCATCTATCTCCCTGTCACTCCAAACGGAGCCACAAGGCCAAGTTGGGCGACGGTGCCTTCAGCGTGGTGACCAAAGCCACGAACCGCGCGACGGGTGCTGTGAGGGCGGTAAAGTCTGTCCTGAAGTCGAGGGTGGGCAAGATTGAGGCATAGGGTCCGAAAGTTTGAAACTTGATAGGAGCAGGTAGAGATGCTCTCGTGTAGAAGGAGATCCTTAAAGTAGCCGGGACCGTGAGGTTGACTGCTGAAAATGGGCAGGGCGCCAAAATGGTAGTTTCTGAAATCTCGCAGGCTCACAGGGAAGAATGTGAGCGTCGTAGATGATTATATAGGGATCTGGTTTTCTTAAGTTTCTGGCCGTCTAATGTTTTGAAAGCATCTACAGCCCTAGCAGTATTTGTATGCCACATACAGAGATTCGCTGTATCACTGCCCCTCAGACATCTGCTTGAAGCATGCCTCAATTTCAGCCACGAGGCCCTCAAGACGGAGATTGACCTGACCAAAGCCGCTCTGTCGCCCTATGGCAGAGGTTGTTGCTTTTTCTGAATGAGCAAACAGGTTCGGAAGCAATGTGTGCAGCTTTGATATGACCCTTTAACTCTAGTGGCGAAGGACATGGATCACCCTAACATCGTCCGGCTCTACGGCGTCTATGAGGACCAGAGACACCTTTACCTGGTGATGGAGCTCTGTGAGGCTCGTAGGGGTCCTCATGGAAGGAAGCAGTGCGTTTGCTGCATATGGCAGCCTTGAAATGCTCGCACGCTTCACTATGTAGGCGGGGTTACATATGTATATTATATGTATATATGTCTGGCTTTCTTCAAGGACGTTGTAACATGTTGCTTCACCATGCAGCATTTGAGGATTCCAGAAGCAGTTTTCTGTCAGGGCGGCGAACTCTTCGACCGCCTGTCAGAGGTCTTCAACCTGGGGGAGAGGGGCGCGCGGGTCTGCATGAAGCAGGTCTTTGCGTCCGTGGCCTACTGCCATTCCAAGGGCATTGCCCACCGCGACCTGAAACCAGAGAATTATCTCCTCTTGGACAAGGACAAACCTCTTGAGCAGACTCTGCTTAAGCTGATCGATTTTGGGTTGGCCAAGAAGCTGCCAGAGGAGGGCTTTCTAAAAACGCGAGTGGGCACGGCCTACTACGTTGCACCTGAGGTGCTGGCGCAGGCCTATACAGAAGCAGCGGATACCTGGAGTGCTGGCGTCATTCTCTACATCATGATCTGTGGCGCCCCGCCTTTCAATGCTGCGCAGGACAGTAACATCCTCAAGTTAGTCAAGAAAGGCCAGTACAGCATGGAGGGTGGGGTGTGGCCTACGGTGAGCAGTACCTGCAAGAGCCTGATCAAGGCCTGCCTGGAGATGGATCCCCAAACGCGCATCACAGCCCAAGATGCTTTGAGCCACGAGTGGCCCGGTGCGCAGTGCAAGCCCTTTTTCATTATTACTCTTGCTTGTGAGCCTGCATTCGTCCGCACCACTTCCCTACATTTCAAGCCTGCGCTGCCTAAACGCACGCAAAACAGGCCCCAGCACAGCACAAACAGGGATCCTGAGACCCAAATACACAATTGGCAAGTTGAAGCACGGTTTGGATTCTGGGGTCCACTGCACGTCTTCTTGTGCAGCTTCCAGAGGTTCTTGGCATCAAGGAAGGTTAGGCAGAGATCCTAGGGATGCAACCGCTGAACCTAGACCCTCAACTGAGGTTTTACTTTAAGCATGGCAGGCATGCATTCAAAACAGGCCTAGACCGGGTGACAGTATAAAACGCTCAACAACTCCTCTTCACCCCTCGTAAGCACTTCTGGCGATCGCTAAGTCTGCGCTCTGAATAGCGGGAACCCCAAGCCATAAACACCGTAAACCTTGAACCTTGGCTGCTGAACGCGCAACAGTAAGACCTCTGGATTCTGAAGCTGGGAAACCTCCATGAGAAGCCTGTGGGGAGGAGCTGTTGTGAACAAGGGACCTGGAGGGTTAAAAGTGTGTCTTTCCTGTCTGGGGCCCAGAGGAATCCTGCACACAAAATCCCAAACCCCCAACCCCTTCACCCATGTGATGAAGGTCCCATGTAAAAAGCGAGGTGTGATAGGGTTCTGCAGGGTCTTACTGAACTCTTATATATAGCCCCAATATGCTACCTGAATTTCCATTTTATTTTCCATTACCCCTGTATACTACCCTCAGGAAGGGGCCTCTACTTGTTGTAAACCCCAAGCTTCTGAGGTGGTTTCACATCGATGAGGCCAACGGCTGCGCTCCCCTGGATTCCTCAGTTCTCCGGAATTTGAGGCACTGAAAGGGGTCTAGGAGTCCACTAGGGTACGGGTACAGGGTTTAGGTTTGAGGTGCAAAAGAGCAAACCCTGGACTTTTTAGGGGTGCATACGTGTCCTTAGATTCAGTTTTCTGTTTCGACTTTATGCAGGGCTTCGGTTTTTTGCGTCGCTGAGTGCATGGGGTTCGGTACTTGGTGTGCTGTCTTTATTTTGAGGGGCTGCTGATTGAGCAGGATTTGGGTGCTTTCAGTGTTATTCGCATTTTGGCGCGAGTTTGCTGAGTTTCGGATGTCTGGTTCATGTGCTCCCTGCTGAACAGCTCGCCTTCCCTAATGTGACTTTTGATCTGATGGGCCTTCTTACGTTCTGGATTCATGATGCATTGATGATTTTGGACAATACTCGCCTGAACCCAAATCACATTTTTCTTGAAAAGCCTTACCATAGTTGCAACCATGAGGTACAGGTCCTTGTAGGGTATGGAGGCGAAAAGGATCAAAACAGTTGCCAGAGAATGTAAGGGGCGCGTGAAACCCTAAGCCCTGAACCCTCAATCCCTGAATTGCCAGATATTTTTTGTGTGATGTTTGAATCAAGCTCAGGCAGTTCAGCATCGCCAATCGCTTCCGCAAGGCGCAGAAACCATCGCGCCAGTAAGAAAATCAAGCATTGCAAGCCCCAGTGAAGTTGCGATCGTGTTAATTCGTAGTACACAGCAACCACGAAACAATTTCGTGTGTGGGGCTTTATGTTGATGATCTGGGATACTATCTACAATTACTACTGCTGCTGCCGCTGCTGCTGCTGCTACCACCACCACCACCACCACCACCACCACCACTACTACTACTACTACTTCTTCTTCTGCTACTACTACTCCTACTCCTGCTGCTGCTGTTACTATTGTTACTGGT